ACAGTTACTACACAGTTACTACTATGTGGACATGAACCCATGACCTTGTGACCTCGGTGCGATTGTCTCCACAGAGGATTACGTGGTATTTTTTGACCGCCTGACGTTCATCAGGAAGTGCGTGCAGGTCGCAGGTACCGAGCTGACCACTAGGACCAACATCCTGCTGGTCCGACTGGACCTGCGGGTTCCTGGGAACGGGATTGTGTTCACCTACAAGTCGGAGAAAAACACAAAGAGGAGCCACCACCGGGGTGAGACGGTGACGTGGGCTCCCTTTAACTTTACCTCCAACGTGTCGTAGAATCAACGGTGGGAGAGATTTTCACGTGGTTCATCATCAGCGTAGAAGTTGAACTTTAGTCTCAGCCAAACATTAGCCTATTACCTTTTTTGCTATTTTCTCCCACCTCGCCGCTAGCTCCGACCCAACATTTACCTCTTTGTTGTTGTTTTTTTCCTTCTTCGCTAACATCGACCAATCAGCCGGCTTTATGGATCTTAACAAATGATAAACACTCGTCTCCTCTCTGACCTCCACAGACTGTGACGTTCAGCTGTTTGCCCCTAGTGGTGACTTTGAAAACCCAACGACGTCCAACACCAATCACACCTGTCGAGTGCTCGTCAACGCCCCCCCTTGGTGAAGACCAGGATCCAGGCGCTGCACATGGGACTGCCCTCCAACGCCACCACCCCCCCGTCCACCTTCATCTCGGTGGGAGTTCGATCACGCATTCTGACGTGGATCGACGCTCTCGTCTTTCAAACGTTATAATCCTCGTTTCATTTGCGCAGCTCCGGGACACGGACGTCCTGAGGACAAACGTCTTCCGAGGACCGCGGCTCTTCGTGTGGCAGTCGTCTGGAAACATGGCTGAGGTGGAGTTCCACGGAGAATAACTGCGTTCCAAAGGAAGCTTCCGGGCCGAATATTCCTTCATAAATCTTTAACGTTAAATTCACTCAGTAAAAAGGAGATGTAACACAAGAGGGCGAGGCAGAGGGGGGAGAGCAGGGGAGAGTGGGGGAAAGTGGGGGGGTTCTAGTCCATGACGTAAACCCATTTACACTGACATTCCTAGTGTATTTTGTTTATTCTTCCAAACGGTGATGCGTTAGATTAGCAATTATATCTTAGCTAGCTCAAGAATGACAACAAGTAAATAAATGGTGTGATCGCCCCCTGCTGTTCATTTATTCACCTGGACGTCTGGACCTCACACAGATATAAACCTTTTCTGGTCGAAGACTGAAACCATGTCACCTTGTTTCTAGAACGCTCCAAAGTCCAGGATGTCAGCAGCACCAGAACCGGGACTCGAACTGCTGATGTTCTTGCTGTAAGGCGAGAGAGTAAACCACCTGTTCCGGTGTGTGGCCCAGATTTAATATTGCTTCTTTGACAACATGTTTCAGTGTGAACAGTTCTGATCTGAACCTCCGGTTTCCGTGTCTGTACCTTTAAATGAGACACGGTGGCTCCGCCCACTTTCTCAGAGACATCGAACCCCTGACACACAAACATCACAAAACCCCGACAGTCCCTGGTAGTCCCTGGTAGTCCACGATAACAAATCCAGCTTGAACATTTCTTTAGTTTTTGTTTATTTAAACGTTCATTTTTCCGACCGTGAGCCAACGCTTGGACCCCAAACAACCATTAAACACCAGCAAACGGTGCTAGTCTGGTATAAACAACAACAACGACGACAACAACAACAACAACAACAACAACAGCGATTATTCTCACTAACTTTTATCAAATTTTAGCTGTAGAATTTATTCAAATAAATTAACTTTATTTGAAACGCACTTTATAAGAAAGTTTGGAGAATTTCCCACAATCCCTTGCTCCTCGTCAACAACTGCTGATGTCAGTGAGACTCAGTTCCAGCCCAGTGGGACAGAGACTCCTGTGGGGGGGCAGAGGGGGGGTCACTGCCTGGACGTGTCTTCCAGCAGGGCCCTCATGTCCAACAGAGCGCCCTCTAGAGTCTAGGCGAACCTGGCGGCGTTGGTGTCCTCGCAGGAGGACACCAACGTCCTTGTTGAAGGCGGTGACGGCGATGTTGATGTGCTCCTCCATGGGGTTGTAACACACGCCGTAACCTTCCGGGACCATCGGACCAAAACACATCACACAGTCGGTCTTGGAACCCACCTGGTCCCAGAGAGGAGGAGGACCAGGGGAGAACACAGCATGTCAGTACTGCGTCAGTGCTGCGTCAGTACTGCGTCGGTTCTCAATCACCTGGTTGGTGCAGAGGTGGAAGTGATTGGCCACAGCGAAGGAAGTGTCCATGAATATCTCAGGTAAAGACGTCAAGTCTTCGATTCCCTGTATTTTCAGGCCCAGCAGGTGGCGATCTATGCCCTGTCCATGGATGGACTTGACGGAGGAGAAAAGGTCAAAAGGTCAACAGAGAGGACTGGACTAGACAGTACTGGTATGACTCATGAAATACTAGTACGACTAATATAGTACTGGTACAACTAATGAAGTACTGGTACAACTAGTGTAGTACTGGTATGACTAATGTAGTACTAGTACGACTAATATAGTACTGGTACGACTAATGCAGTACTGGTACGATTAATGAAGTACTGGTACGACTAATGTAGTACTGGTACAGCTAATGAAGTACTGGTACAACTAGTGTAGTACTGGTACGACTAATCTAGTACTGGTACGACTAATGAAGTACTGGTACAACTAGTGTAGTACTGGTACGACTAATCTAGTACTGGTATGACTACTGTAGTACTGGTATGACTAATGTAGTACTAGTACGACTAATGTAGTACTGGTACGACTAATGCAGTACTGGTACGATTAATGAAGTACTGGTACGACTAATGTAGCACTAGTACAACTAATGAAGTACTGGTACGACTAATGAAGTACTGGGACAACTAGTGTAGTACTGGTACGACTAATCTAGTACTGGTACAACTAATGAAGTACTGGTACAACGTAAACATAAGGTGAAAACATGTCCGGTGATTCATGGTTATGTGAATGTAACAGCAGGTTACTGGTTCAAATCCCAAACGTGGCTCAGGTTCTGGTTCTGGTTCGTGCTGTTGTACCATAAAGCTGGTGAGGATGGACTCAACAATGC